GCTCTGATGCGCTTTATCAAAACACTCCACAAAGAGACTGACATAATTAGGTGACAACTCAGCCCACGGCACCTCTTTTAACTTGCAAAAATATTTAAGCTGCAATAAGAAAATGTGCTTTCTTGGTATTAAATTGCCACCTTCAAGCATCCGTAGTGGATGGCCTGACAGCTTTTTTTGTTAGTCAGGGACTGTTTTAAAGCAACTTTGAGAGTAATTTTTAACAGGAAGTATTTTCTGAGCCTGGCAACAGTCACTGGATTAGTAAAGTTCATTTTAAAACTGGAAATCTGATATACTATATGATCCGAGTCAAGCATTTTAACTGTAACTTACTAATAAATAACCTGCTAGAGGAGGGAGTAATTTAAAATAAATTTGCATGTGGAAGTCAGGACAAGGAATACAAGATTTCTTTCTATCTGTGTTTCAAATTCTTTGTATTAACCTTCATCTATGTCTACGCTGCACTTTACCCATCCCAGCCCTTGCAGGAAAAATGAGAACCTGCAAAGCTCTCGTAGATCTTTGGATAAAAATACATTTTCGTCCAAAAGCAGCCTACGAGTCCACGGAAATGAAGACTAAAGCAAGACTTTTAGGGAGTGACACCCTCACAATGAAAGCTCTTCCACAGGCAAGAAATACTTCAGATGACTGATATCTGTTTACTGGGGACTTGGGCTGATACTATATTTATGCTGAAAAACAGTGTTAAGAAGATGTTACCTTTAGAACAGATTTGCACTTGCCAACGTACAGTTGGAAATGACTTTTTTTTTTTTTCCAAATCAGACAAAATGCCTGGCTTCTCGTTTGCTTTTTTTTTGAGAAATTCACTCAAAAACTCACATAATTCCTCTATAAAATGCGATAAGTACAAGCACACACCACAGATGGCAATTGTGCCTGCAGGAAGAGAGATGAAAATATAAATTAATTGCTTTGATACTGGGGCAATGTGATCATGAAATGTCATACTCATCTCTTAAATTGCAACCGCGCACCCGTATTGCGTGATACCCAGATACCGGGGTGTAAGTGCTGACTCTAGAGCTCTGGTCTTTCTCTGCAATCCTAAAGGTTCTGCTTCACATTCAACCAGGGCAGAGGGACAACTCAGTTCCCTTCCCAGTCAGTTGCTAGATCTGGGATTGTTTTTTGGTCTTTGTTTCCTACAAAAACGAGGCTTTACATTATCAAATTACTTCTGTATCTCTGCCTAGCCTCCCCCCTCCCCAGCTTTTGGCTTGGCTCGCTTGTCTCTGCCCCATGTGATAAATTTGGATAAGATCTCAGTGGCATGAATTCCTAGAAGTTTCTTGAAAACAGATGGCTGGGGAGAGGCAGGAGCAAGGAGGAAGCTGCAGCACAAGCTGAACTATTATTAGAGACCAGAGGCTTCGCACCGGTCAGAGCTATCGCAGCCCTGCAGCAGCAGGTGACACTTCGGAGCTGCTTGTTCTAGTCAAAGTCCTGCAAGACCCTTGTCCGCACTTGGGCTGTTCTGCAACTACCTACCAAATAGGAGAACGGGTCCCTGTGAATTCTGGTGCTCACCTCTGCTACGTTCAGAAAGGTGCAATGAGTACGCAATGAATATGCATTGAATAGCCAGGTCTCCTTTTTCCCCTTCTTCCTCCCACGCCTCCCAACGGCAACGGAAAGCCTTGACCCATTTCTCTGCATCCTCGCTGCGTTCCCCTGCCTGCTCCCGGGCTACGTCCTCATATAGATTCCCCATATGGAGCACCAAGAACTTTGCTGTTCACAGTTGCTCGTAAATAACTATCTGCCGAGGGTTCAAAAATAACCACGCTGCGCAGAGCCGCAGCGCCCAGCAATGCCACAGAGAGAAGCGCTAAGAGCGGGGTTTTATTTTCCTGCATGTGAGCTGCCACGAGCTGCACTAATTAGATTTCCAGTATGTCAGAGGCAGCCATTTCACCTGGGAGCAAAGGAGACAACGTGATTTTGACAACAGCATGGAATAGCGATGCACAGAGAAGCCATGAAATATTCAGCAGAAATAGAAGATGCCAGTGAAGACGTTTGCTCTGGCTCTTCGCAGATGAAGCAGGGAGAAGCAAAGCTGGCCACGGTGCTAATTATTCCCCAGCTCCTCATTAGCTCTTGAATTTAAAACATGGATGGCGGCTCAGCCAGCCTATTGTGCAATTGATACTTCCCCCGGCAGGATATGGTTAAAAATACTGACACCCTTTGAAGACAAAATGAGGCTTGAAAGTGTCATGATGGGAGGAGTTGGGGGCTGGAAATCCTCTTAAAGGTGCACGGCTTCCTCCGGGTCGAGAAAACAAGGGGAACTTGCCTGTAATGGAGCGAGTTTTATAGTATGTGCTTTTGGGAAAATGAGCCATTCTCCCAGCCCCACTGGTAAATCCGTATGGAAATGGGTTAATCCAGGGTGGGCACCTTACCCTGGCTGTGCACCCTGGTCTGTGCTTGCTCGGCCCATAAGCAACACCTGCGTTGGCCTCATGCTGTTGGATCTTTCTATATTTTGCCTTTTTTTCTCCCTAATTTGAGTTCCTAATGGATGAACAAGTAACAATAGAAACAGAGGCGCCCGGGGCGGCTGTGAGCACAGGCAAAGGCGCTGTCCGCCATGGCCTCCATGAGGGGACGCAGCCACGAGGCGCCGCGGCCTCGAAGGTGCCCGATGGGCCGGCCGCCATGTTGCAGGTGACCATGGCC